GTACCATAATACTATAATACACACTAATACATGACATAATAATTTAAGAGAGTTCAGACTTAAGCAGTACAGCCATATCCTTCTTTAATCATTTGTTTGGGGGAGGAAGCACATTTTTGTTCACTTTATTGTAGTTATTTTTGACTTGGATTTAAGAATCAGCAGTTGCAACACAAAATTTTCCAGGTACAGGCAAACTGTAGAGTTATTTGAAAGGGACATATGTTATAGTTTGAATCAGTCCGCTAACTGAGTAAAGCCACGTTCACTCTCCATCCATCCATATTGCAAGTGTCAGCCTCAAGACTTGCATTTCGTGTTGTGTAATACAGCCGAATAAATCACCTTGTATTGTTTCTCTGGGGGCTGGAGATGTTTTTATCCATAGATTTCTCTATCAAAACCAGCTTGGTGAGCCTCAGCTAAGTTTTTTTTTTTTTTTTTGTTAAAGGAGAACTCAGGTGAAAAATGAGCCTTTGGTCTAATAAAACATCGGTACCTAGTCAACCGTTCTCTGAGATTTGTTTTCATGATAATCGAATGTAAAGAGTTTTATCTCTAAAAACTGTTTACCATATAATGCTAGTAATGGGGGCATTAACTAAGTACAAATAAATCGCTAGTTTATACCACTAACAAAGCTCAAAATAGCCCCACACTAACACAAGTAACATAATGAGGGTCCCTGCATGCAAAACGAAGCATTGAGAACTTTGTAAATGTTCAGACCGTTTAATAAGAAGATACTTTATAAAGACAGTTCACTTCATGTATACTATACAGACAGGAGCCATCTTAGAAAATAGTCTTGATAAGTCGATCCCCGAACGCCATCCATACAGTTCAGAAGTTCGCTGAACTTCATACAGTTCAGCTCAATCAGCACGACGTTTTTCCAAGATGGCTCCTGTCTGTATACACAAAGTCTTTACAAAGTTTATAAAATGTATGGACCCTCATTATGTTACTGTGTTAGTGTGGGGCTATTTTGAGCCTTGTCAGTCGTATAAACTAGCGATTTCTTTTTACTTAGTAAATGCCCCCATTACTAGTGTTATACGCTCAACAGTTTTTAGAGATAAAACTCTTTACATTTGATTATCATAAAAACAGATCTCAGAGGACGGTTGACCAGGTACCGATGTATTATTAGACCAAAGGTTCATTTTGCGCCAGAGTTCTCCTTTTAGAGGGAAATTCAAATGCAAGCTTTGAATTTCAAATTGAACACACTTTTGTGAAAATAGAGCTGGTAAAAATTAGCCATGTCCTTCAGCTTTAGTACTGTACATTGCCTATGCATTTGCATTTTTCCTTAACACATTGATTGACAAACTGCTGCTCACCTTAATGATTTCACCAAATCAAACAATGATTTCACAAATCCATAGGTAGATCACCTCATACTGGGGCTAAACACAGATTAAGTATTTGCTAAGCAAACCGCATGGAGTGTAAGGGGTGGGCATATTCAAATCATATACAAATTTGTTCTTACTTGGAAATTTAGTTTTGTTTGTCTCCATTCTGTTGTTTTCTTTATCTTAACTTGGTCTGTAAGCATAGGCTCATTGGAAAAAATGCTCGTCTATACCTACATTTTTCCATAACTTAAAAAACCGTACCTAAACATACAAATCACTGCAGTTTCCAGCTGAAAGGATCACTAGTTGTAAAATGCCAAAAACTTTCGAACAAATTATGATAACATGCAGATTATCAAATAATGAAGACTTAATTTTGCACGGTTCCTTGCACAATACCCTGACCTCAAAACAACAATACCATAGTGCAAGATTGTTATTAGAATAGATTTGATATTTGCATCACATAATCTTGCATGGGAGCTCACCTGGAACAGCGTTTCACTTGCAAAACAGAGACCCACAAAAAAGGACATCGTCGCTTCAGCAACTGCAATTTCATGTTTCATAAATGTTTTATTTTTCCAATGAGGGTTATGTAGCATCTTATTCTTAATACGTTCATATTCATGATTGCAAGTACAATGTACTTATTGTGTTCAAGTTGCATTGTGAAACACTTTAGCTGCTATTGAGGTGTGATACAGGTAAGGTTAGGGACAGGTGTGGCGGTATGGGTATAAGGGTGGGTGTAAGGGAAGGGTCAACCATGTAATTATAAATTGAATCACAGCTGTAATTACATGCAGGCATTTGTAAAATATATAACAATACACAATAATTCCATTGTATCAAATTATTAATTGCAATGTAAGTACATAGTTGTACCCAGTACATAGTGGCACCCAAAAAAATAATATACCATATGTAATAATTCGTAAATCTTACATTAAACATATATTTTATCTACATTGATTGTATTTAATAACATAACCTCTAAATGTATTATTATTTACACTGCCGAGAAAAAGAACGTTTTTAAAGTCCCTATGAAATCAAAATTGACCATACTTACTTTGTTTGCCTGAATTGATCGTTTTGTGGTGAACAATTCATACATGCAAGTCAATCCACACAAAAAAAATTTTTGGCTTCGTAATCTTTAATCAAATTTTGAAAATGCCCCTCCCCTCTGCATTGGAGGACCTTGCCGATGACGTAGGCTTTACGGTTTGGGTGTCTCCTTAACATCCATAACCGCGCCCCTCCAACTGACAGCTGCTGTGTGTTTGCGAACGCCGAGCGAGCATTGATTGACAGCATGTGTAAACTTGCGTCATCCTCCATTTCAGAATGAAACACCCATTTTTCTAGATCCAATCAGGTGCTAGTTGGGAAAAAAAAGCCACGCCCACTATTTTGCCTCATTTAGTATTCTGTTTCTCTCGGAAATACGTCACAACACTGGAGAAAAGTCGTTTGCAACTTCCGATTCACGGGACTTTAAGGTTTCACTTATCAAATACTGTTAATATCTAATAAATACTGATCTTGTGTTGGTGCAATAAAGCTGTTGATTTATTCAGGACACACTTTCATGTCCTTATTCCAGATCAAACCTCACTCAAATATCTCCTTTCAAGAGTAAAAAGTAAAGACAGGACCCTCTTGAAAAGCCCATAGCAGGCATTTATTATATCAAAACACAGTCTTTATCAACATTTTAAGGAGTATTAACATAACAACAGTCAATGACCTGGATACTCCCAGACAATACTAAAGTCAGTGCCTCATCCACACAGTTAGGATTTAGTGAGGTCTTAATGGCCCAGATACTGAAACCAGGTGTTGTATTGTCAAAATGCAGATCTCCCCATTCAAGATCAAATACCTTTTCAAGCTTTTCCTGTGCTGTAGCTGGTCATCAGCATAATGTCTGTAATCTTTGGACATTAGTCAGCTCTTGAAGATGCATGTCAAGCTCCTCTATAATTGCTTGTATAACAGAGCCTGAACTCATCGCTAATGGTATTTGTGAACACTTCTTTTTTGTGTGCGTGTGATCGACATTAGCCTGCAGCAAGACAGTCAGCAAAACGACGCAGTTAGCAGGTTTTTCAACGATTTCTATCATCCCGTGGCACAGGATCCTTGCCTTAGGTGTTCACTTCCACCTCCATCACTGTGCTAACTCACCTTTCAGGTGAAACTTGAACTCATTTGATAGAAGTGATACTGCTCAAACTTCCGTCTGCTCTTTCAGACTAAACCTGACCTGTGGACTGGACTCTGTCCCCGCGCGTGTGTTTACACTCATATTGAGTTGCATCCAGTAACTCTACCACTTTTACAACTCCAATCATCATTCTCTGTGTATTTGTCTTACCTTGCTTGTTATTTACAAAGCATAAACCTATTTCTGCCTCTGCTGTAATCAATTAACACGTGATAATGAAATTAGCGGTCCTTGGTGTACAATCAAACAGCGAAACAGCTTTTGCTTTTGTTTCTGTTCAGTTGAAATGTGTCACACAGCAGACAGATTTAGACTTAAATACCACAAAGAATGGGTGATGTGTCAAATAGGCCTACTCATAATAGCCTATATTCTGCTGAAAATAAATAAATAAATAAATAAACAAAAGCATGCGCATACCAAAGAATAGAGATCTATTTATAGGTCTTTGAGCAAAAATAGAAAGGAAAATGTAGAAAAAAAGTGATTATGCTACAGATCCATGAAAATAAATAATTTCAAATAATTTTAATCTCACCAAATTGAGCAAAATTGAGAATATCGCAGTGTTTTTAACCCTTCTAGCTGCCTCTCTACTGACAAACATGAGAGAGTTTTAAGGAAAAGAAGCTTTTCTGATTTAATCTATCAACAAAATGTTTGATTCATTTTACTGAATCACTTTCTGTTTCCCTTTTCCCCCCTCATGACTCTTAATGTGTACTTTTGTATGCATCATCACTCAGATGTCCATTGTTTAATGTTAAAGGGATACTCCACTTTTTTTTTTTTTGGAAATAGGCTCATTTTACAACTCCCCCAGAGTTAAACAGTTGAGTTTGACCATTTTCGAATCCACTCAGCCGATTTTTCTGATATTTAGAAGAATATCAGTAACCAGACAGTTTCTGGTCTCATTGACTTCCATAGTAGGAAAAAAATATACTATGGAAGTCAATGAGACCAGAAACTGTCTGGTTACTGATATTCTTCTAAATATCAGAAAATCGTCTGAATGGACTGTTTAACTCAGGGGGAGTTGTAAAATGAGTCTATTTCCAAAAAAAAAAAAAAAAAAATGTAATGTGTCATTGGAAATGCTGATACATTTAACTGTGTATTAGTACATTTTGTTATATTGGTGCATGTAAATTAAAATAAATCTGATTTTTAAAAGCAATCCTTTCTAAGAAAATATATAATTGTCAATATTTTTAATTAATTATAAAAGTACTGAGACATGATTCATTTTGCTTCATCGCCCTTGTGATTAATGTACAGGAAATCAGTGTGTGGAATTTGTCCCGTCTTTCCTTCACACCTCCCCATCTCCTGTGCTTTCTGCTGTGAGGCGCCACCCATTTAGGGAGTGTGCGCTCATGATCTCTTACCTGCTCCTCTCACAAACACTGGACGTGCTGCTGGCATTCTGTCCGTGTTTACTCAGACTGCAGGGCAGGAGTTTGACTGTGTTTATGTTGATTTTCTTCCTTCTTTGACGTCTTCTGTTTTTCTGCGATGCTTTACCAAGAGATTTGAAATGCAATTATAAGTCCTCCGGTGGAAGTGGCAAACAGGGATAATTTACCATCTGGATAATCTCCACCTTTATTTCTGCACCTTCATCTCTCCTTTATCTCAGGTCTTCGTGTGCACAGCACAGACAGGGTGAGTAGTTGGAAATGAAAGGAACTTTGAAACACTTAAAATATGATTTTGCCTTCATTGACCTATATTATTACATTTCAATCCAGAGGGGTTTGGAGAGATGAGGGATATTATAATGCATGGATTTATGATATCTCACTGCCGTTATTTATTTGTATTTTAACTCATTTTTCGTTGTAACACTATAATGGGAACACATTAGTTAACATTATTTAATATTTACTTGAATTAAGAATGTACTTTGCTTCTACGGCATTTATGAATCTTAGTTAATATTAATTTCAACATTTATTAATATATGATTAAAATCAAGAGTTGTGTTACTGTTAACATTAGTTAATGCACTGTAAACTAACATGAACAAACAATGAACAGCTGAATTTTTTAGATTAGATTAACAAAGACAGTAACAAATGTATTGCTCATGGTTAGTTCATATTAGTTAATATATTAACTAATGTTAACATTTGAACCTTATTGTTAAGTGTTACCGATATAATTGACTAAAAAGACATCCAAAGTCTTCTTTTCTCACTGAACGTGGCAATTAGCTTTACACGAGAGTAAAAGAAAGACTTCACCTAATTAAATGCCCCGTTCCTGGATGACATCTACCCTTTAAAAATGTATTGCCATGCTTTTTATATCTGTTACCACCACACCCACGTCGCTAATCCATCATTTCGTTAATCATTACACCAGCCTTTGAAAGCTGAACAACTCAAACATATACAAATCCTGCCACAGAAGGATTTGCTCATATATTTAACAGTGTTGCAATACTTTATGTTCTCAACTTGATTTCAATGCATTTTTGTATGGTTGTGTTTATATTGAGAGTACAATTCAGTGGATTCATTTTCGAGGCTGTCTCTAATAAATCAATGAGAACATACTTATGATGCAACTATTTTCCCCCCTTGGCCTGTATTGCCCAGATAAACCTTTTCTCCAGGATGTATTGCATTTAAATGGAAGCTTCATATGTTAATCTCAGGTTTGTGTGAATATATGTGCGCTTGTTTTGGCGTACAGTAGTTATTTGTGAAATGACCTGTACATAGTTACTTGTATTTGCAGTTCTAGTCAGCCATCACACAAATCAGATATATAAATCCAGTTCTTGAAACAGCAGATTTTCTTTTAGAGTGTAGTTAGAGCTTGGATTTATATCCAATATGGGATAACTTTATCATTCTTCAGCAAAACGTCATTAATCTACATAGCCATCTGGGTTGTTGCTGATGTCTCTGATAGGCATTTTCTTTGTGAAATTGTTTCTCTGTCAGAAGAACTTGTCTAGTGGGGTTTTCTGCATTGTTTCCTGCAGAGGTGGATGATAACTAGGCCCACATGGAACTATTTCTGGGTAGCTATATATCATATATATATTTTTGTATTTAAATTATACTTACACTACCGTTCAGGAGTTTGGGGTCGGGTCAGTAAGATTTTTATTTCAAATAAATAAACAAATTAAGTTTTTGCCATCATAATGGTGTAGTTACAGCATCTATCAGCACAGCAATGTCTAGGTGATGCTAACCAGCCTTTTCCTGATTTACCGATTAGAATATCGCAGTAAAATATATATTATGAACTAATAAGAAATGCTCCCAAGCACATTAAACAGCATCAAAGCACATGACCACTGAAAACTGACATACATTATTTTAGTTTTTCAATGCTTTGGACAACTTGGCTTATACTTTTAGTTTTTGTTTTTTCTGCCCTTTAGCCTCAATCAGTTTTCTCAAATACATTGTTTTCTAAAGAAAGTGCATTTCTGTTCAATCACTGTATTCTGTGCAGTGACTGAAATAACTCATAGAAATTTGTATTATTTCAGTTGTTTTGTTCAATTGTTTTAGCCTTTTTTGTTTTTTGTTTCTTTTAGCCAATTGTTTCAACTTTTATGTTTGTGTTCTGTTAGTGACTCTTTAATGAGCTGTTCTTACACATTCCGTGTCATGCATTTATGGTTCTAATTTTCCTTAAAGGGTTAGTTCACCCAAAAATGAAAATTAAGTCAATAATTACTCACCCCCATGCTGTACCAACCCCGTAAGATCGTTCATTTTCGGAATACAAATGAAGATATTTTTTATTAAATTTGAGAGGTGGATCACTGCTACATAGGCTGCCTAAGGGAATGAAACTTTACAGCCCACAAAGTCAATGAAGAAAATGTTTAAATATTCCACGTGACAACAGTGGCTCAAGTATAAGTTTATAGGCCTGAGAGACGAGAGTCCAAGAGATTTCCACGACGCATGCGGAAGAACTGAACTGAAGTACTTGAAGAAGATCGCAATTCTCGCGCATGCGTCGTTGCAATCTCTTGAACTCTTGTCTCAGGCCTACAAGGAAGAAAAGGAATAGTCGAATAAATTAGTTATTTTTGTTTGTTTTTTCGCACAAAAAGTATTCTCGTCGCTTGATAAACTTATACTTGAGCCACTGTAGTCGCATGGAATATTTAAACATTTTCTTCAATGACTTTCTGGGCTGTAAAGTTTCATTCCCTTAGGCAGCCTATGTAGCAGTGATCCAGCTCTCAAATTTAATCAAAAATATCTTCATTTGTGTTCCGAAGACGAACGAAGGTCTTACGTCGTTGGTACAACATCGGGTGAGTAATTAATGACTTAATTTTAATTTTTGGGTGAACTAAAACAGATTTTTTTCTCTCTCCCTGTTTATGTTTTTTTCCAAACCTTGTGGCATTGGCAGAAATGTTTTCACTAATTTCACTAATTCTTCTGTTTCACTCTAGATGTCATGGCGTCCTCAGTACCGTAGTTCCAAGTATCGACACGTGTTTGGGAAGCCGGCCACAAAAGAGAATTGCTATGATGGCGTCCCCATCACCCGGAGTGTTCACGACAATCACCTCTGCGCCGCCAACCCTCACTTTATCGCAGTCATCACTGAATGTGCGGGGGGAGGATCATTCCTGGTGCTGTCCATCCATCACGTGAGTGAAACACGCTCATATCTGTGACTAGGACACTTAATACTCTTTAAACTAGTGTAACATTATTTTAAGGACAACCTGGCAAGTTACAGAAGTTGGTGTCTTCACTCTTTCTTCAAGGCAACCAAAGACCTTTTCTACCTACATCTTTATTTGCTTCTGATATTTTACATTCTGTCTCTCTTTATATGTATATACACACACACACATTCACCTATGCAAGCTTACCTGTTCTGACACACTTTAGACTTATGTCATTTTATTGGTCTGTTGACTGTCTCATTTTAAGTCGGGTATTATCTCATGTCTCAGGAATGACACAGGTTACATGAAAGCCTGGAGGCATCTTTTGTATTGTCTGTCTCTCCTCCCCCACCCCCCAACACCATAGGTTGACTAAAAACTAGTATTCATTTAATGTTACTATACAATGTGCTTTCTTAGGAAACAACATATAAAATGGTCTGATCACACATTTCAAGTTAATGCATGTTTCAACATTTTAGCGTCTTTCCCCAGAATCAACACAGTTGTCAGTTTAGATATGAATAATGATAAAGTCAAGTTTCGTCACTTGTTACAGCTGAGTCATTTGCATTACGTACTTGTTTTTTGACTACTTAAGGATTTTCTCTTTGTTGAGACTTGTATCTTTTGGAAAACATTTCTGTGTTGTGATTCTTGGAAACAACTGTTATGTAGCTCGCTGGAAACAAATCCTATTCTAGTATCGGTATCTTATTTTCAGGCAAAATAGTGCTCACTTCAGTTGTTTTAACGCAAATTTAGTGAGATGTATCCTTAAAACAAGCTAAACAAGACCAAATACATTTGTTGTATTCAAGATACACTATATATATTTGGGGTCGGTATGAATTTTTATGTTTTTGAAAAGAAGTCTCTCCTGCTCACCATGGCAGAAAAATACAGGAAAAGTAGTAGCTAATATTGTGAAATATTATTACAAAGTTGAATTTAGGTAAAGTTGGTAAAGTTGAATTTTCAGCATTATTATTCAGTCTTCAGCGTCAGATGATCGTTCAGAAATCATTCTAATACTTTGAGTAGTTCAAGAAACATTTCTCATTATTATAATTGTTTGAAATGCAAATAAAAACACTGCTTAGTGTCATGTAGTGGCTGTAATAAAGTGAAAACAAAAACAGTTTATTAAATCCACAAACTAAAACTCAGAAAATGGCTGGAGAATAATGAACACAACCACGTTTAACTTCTTAGATGATACCAGTTAAGGAAATGAAGGCGACACAGGACATAAATACATAAGAGACTGTTCGTTATTAATTTAAGGGGCCACTGGAGGAGATTTGAGATCTGTAGTCAAAAAAGACTTGACCCTCCCCTCGCCAGCAAAATTTTTTCCTATGACCCTCCAAAATGATTGTGAAAAAAGGCATGACCCTCCCCGATAATTTATTGATTACTTCTGTACTGGTTTGCCCTTGGCAAAGATGTTCAGATAGCCATGATAAACAACTAAACTCCTGCTTTCTCATCTTACTAGGGCTGTAACGATAGACCAAACCTACAATTCGGTTCGTATCACGAGTTTTGATTTGAATTTTTTTTTTTTTTTTTTTAAATCATGTTTTCGGTGCTGATGCAGTGGTGACGCGTTTATGTAACATGCAATTTTGCGCTAAAGTTGAAAGGCATTTTGTGCATAGTAAAACATATCTGCAACATTTATCAATTTCACTGATAATTGTGCATGCATTTATTAATCATTATGATACTAAAATCATAATAAAGTAATATGCTTCCCTTTCAATAGTCCAAATTCACGGCCATTTTCGTCTTTCTTCTGTGGATTTCATCAGCTCTTAATTGATCAAAATTCAGATAGATTGACAAATCGGCTCATTCAACCGCACAGCGCACACACCTCACGAATTCAAGCCTACAGCTCAGATTTACTCACTAACACTGTTCTGGGAACGCAATAAGAATGGAAACTATAATATGGTCGTATCGTGCTACATCGCACATTATATCAGCTGCAGTTGGGCGCCTCAGTCCCAATACACTTGACGTACATTCACATCACATGTTAATGCAGCGGTAGAGTTACACACACAGGACAATGCACTTATTCACAATAACAAAAGTTCATTATTTGCTTGTGCTTTAAAGCTTTGCCGGGTAAACATTTCTTTGCCGTTCTGTTCTAATGCACTTTTTCTGAGCGTGTACTGAAGCACGTGCGAACTGTCAAACAGACCGAGAGAGCTACATGTCATGGAGCTACATGGAAAAAATATGCACCAAACAAGCCACTTTGAAATTTACCTGTTTTGATGAATACAAAAGTTGGGTGACCCTCCCCTATAGACTAAAAAAAAGTTGGATGACCCTCCCCTCATCAAAGAATAAAAAGACATGACCCTCCCCTATTTTCCTCCGGTGGACCTTTCCATAAATACCGAATGGTCCCTAAGGGTAATCAAACTGAACAGAAACAGGTGTGAGGGACTAATTAGCAACCTAACTAGCACTTGACTGTGGCCTATGCAAACGAAATTTCGTTCTGTATACACTTGTTGTATTATGAATGACAATAAAGTCTGTCAAGTCAAGTCAAGTCAAAAACTAGGAACTCGGGACAGGCAAAACAGGAACAGAACACAATGGCCCTCATTTATCATTGTTGCGTAGAAACGGGCGTATATTTTGGCGTAATATTATGCTTACGCTCCTCTCACCGCCTGATTTATGAAGCTGTGCGTACCTTTGAAATCCAGGTGTACGCAATGCCTGCCCTTGATAAATCCCGCGGCCGAAAACGATCGTCATTAGAATAACACGCCCCTAAATATTCAAGTCTCCGCTCCCCCCACGCCCTCATTTTACGCCATGTACACACGGAAGACGGCAAAGAAGAGAAACTTCTCCGACGTGGAGCCGAAATGACCTATCACAATGCATTATTTTACAGCACGTCTTTTGAAATGAGCATTCAATTTCGAATCACGTCACATAATAGTGATGATGATATGATGTGAAGTACTATTGATTCACATTAATAATTGCATGACAATTTGTAATATTCTTATTATTAGGCCTATATGATTTGTATTAATGATGCTTATTGTTATTTAGAAGAAGGATGTCGTTATTATTATTTGTATTATTATTATCATTATTTAAAAGAAGAAGAATGTAGCTATTTTTTATTATTTTGTCAGTCTGAATTATTTTTTTGGTCAATGAAAGCCTTTCATTACCGAACCGTGTCCGTGCGCACCTGCCGGGATAATCCTGAAACGGCAGGGTAAAGTCCACAGGCTCGCAACTGAAGGAATACATATGCTTACAAATCAAATGCTTTTTTTAAAGTCACACAAATTAAACATTGAAGTCCACGTTGCACAAAAATAAACACCGAAGTTTATAATTACTATGTTGTTTTTTTGTTTGTTTTTTTACAGTGGGTCATAATCATATCTTTTCAGTGCGTTAAGTGGTGTTAGGAATTTTTCTCCGCATTTCCTCACTAACGTGCGTACACCACCTCCTGAGCTGGTGTAGGATTTGAGCGTGCCGTACGCCAACGTCCATATTGATAAATCTCAAAGTCACCGTGGTTTTGGGTGTACGGAAGGTGTACGCTGGGAATTTGGTGTACGCACTTTTGATAAATGAGGGCCAGTGAAACTAAACCACAACTGAACATACATGTTGCACCTCATTGTGGAAATAATGATTGAGTATTCAAAATATCAAAAGAACAGCTTAAATGAAATACAACATTAACATTGTCTTTACAATTAACATTAGCATTTTTGGATCAATTTAATGTCGCCTTGCTGATTTAAAGGATTCATTTCTTTAAAACAAATCTTACGGACCCCAAACTTTTAACAGTAGTGCAAATAACAGGTACATGCTAAACATCCCAAAAACCTTGACTCCATGATTGTGTATTTATGTGTATGTGCATAAATAACACTGAATCTCTGTGCCTTCTCAGACTGGCAAAGTTGACCCTCACCACCCAAAGGTTTCTGGTCATAGAGGCAATGTACTTGACATCAAATGGAATCCCTTTGATGACTTCTGCATAGCGTCTTGTTCAGAGGACGCCACAGTAAGTGTTCAGACTGGTGCATGTTCACAGTTTACTCAAACGGATCACGTGTTCACATTTTTACAGCTTATCATGTGTGCACATGTTTGTTGTTAAGGTAAAGATTTGGGATATTCCTGAACATGGTGTTCTGAAGAACATCACAGTGCCTTGGAAAGAGCTGCAGGGTCATTCACGACGAGTTGGCCTCATCGAGTGGCATCCAACTGCCAACAACATCATTTTCAGTACCAGCTATGACTACCAGGTAATTAAACTATACATACAGTTTGTCATGGAATGAAGAGAGATGAGATTTCAGTGAATTTCCCCCTCAGGAAGACATTTAAAATATTCGCAGTGATAGGAAGCTCTTAGCATGTGTTGCCATTTTTGATGCTTGCAAGCAGTTTCCCAATCTTTTAATCTCAAACACTTCCCCTCCTGTTCCAAGGCCATAATAATTGTATTCTTTGAATGTGTGGATGAAATTAATTAAATATTTTAATTATTTTTTTGTGGATAAACTGGTGAAGTTATTTACTTAAATATGTTTTAAAAAGGAAGGAAAAGATAAAGGTAATTTAAAATATCTTTCCATAAGTGCAACAACAGAGCAGATGATAAAGCATAAATACATAACTAAAACATAAACTAAACAAGTTGCTGTCACAGTCTTCGTCTTCACCTGTTTGTCTCGTCATCTGCACCACGCTTCCCCGGATCCTTTTGTTTCCTCTCCTGATCTCACTCCCTCATCAGCCACCTGTTCCTCGTCTGTTCGTCATCATTTTCACCTGTTTGCACTCCATTTAGTTTGATTCCTCTGTCTATTTAGTTCGATCTTATTCAGTCTGTCTTTGTCAGTCGATGTTCATGTTACCTGGTGTTTGCGCCTGTAACCCTGCCTTCCTGCCTGTGTGTGTATAAATAAATTCGTGTTTGATGTCAACCTGGATTCCTCCCGCTCCTTCGTCCTGCACTCCTGAACCCCTGCACCACACCCCGTGACAGATCGACTGACCACAAAGCAAGATGGACGCCGGGATCTTCCAGGGGGTTCTACACCCGATTTGCCGGCCCCGTTTGATGCTCGTCCCCCGAAAGCCTGCGCTCACCGTCAGCCCTGCCGAGCCCGAGCTTCCCCCGCTGGTTCCGTCCAGCGCTCCCGAGTGTGCACTCTCCGCTCCGCTGGTTCCGTCCAGTTCTCCCGAGCATAGACTCTCCGCCCGGCTGGTTCCGTCCAGTCCTCCCGAGCATGAACTCCCGTTTCGGCGCCCCCGCTTGATGCTTGTCCCCAGAAAGCCGGCGCTCACCGTCAGCCCTGCCGAGCCCGAGCTTTCACCGCTGGTTCCGTCCAGCTCTTCAGAGATTGAATGCTCTTCACCGCTGGTTCCGTCCAGCTCCCCAGAGCCTGTATGCTCTTCACCGCTGGTTCCGTCCAGCTCTCCAGAGACTTTATGCTCGTCACTGCTGGTTCCGTCCAGTTCTTCAGAGACTGAATGCCCTTCACTGCTGGTCCCGTCCAGCTCTCCAGAGTCTGAATGCTCTTCACCGCTGGTACCGTCCAGCTCTCCAGAGTCTGAATGCTCTTCCCTGCTGGTTCCGTCCAGTTCTTCCGAGACTGAATGCCCTTCACTGCAGGTCCCGTCCAGCTCTCCAGAGTCTGAATGCTCTTCCCTGCTGGTTCCGTCCAGTTCTTCCGAGATTGAATGCCCTTCACTGCTGGTCCCGTCCAGCTCTCCCGGGTCTGAATGCCCTTCACTGCTGGTTCCGTCCAGCTCTCCAGAGACTGTATGCTCTTCACTGCTGGTTCTGTCCAGCTCTCCAGAGACTGTATGCTCTTCACTGCTGGTTCCGTCCAGCTCTCCAGAGACTGTATGCTCTTCACTGCTGGTTCCGTCCAGCTCTCCAGAGACTGTATGCTCTTCACTGCTGGTTCCGTCCAGCCCACCAGAGACTGTAAGCTCTTCACTGCTGGTTCCGTCCAACCATCCAGAGACTGTAAGCTCTTCACTGCTGGTTCCGTCCAGCCATCCAGAGACTGTATGCTCGTCACTGCTGGTTCCGTCCAGCTCTCCAGAGACTGTATGCTCTTCACTGCTGGTTCCGTCCAGCCCACCAGAGACTGTAAGCTCTTCACTGCTGGTTCCGTCCAACCATCCAGAGACTGTAAGCTCTTCACTGCTGGTTCCGTCCAGCCATCCAGAGACTGTATGCTCTTCACTGCTGGTTCCGTCCAGCTCTCCAGAGACTGTATGCTCTTCACTGCTGGTTCCGTCCAGCCCACCAGAGACTGTAAGCTCTTCACTGCTGGTTCCGTCCAGCCATCCAGAGACTGTAAGCTCTTCACTGCTGGTTCCGTCCAGCCATCCAGAGACTGTATGCTCGTCACTGCTGGTTCCGTCCAGCCCACCAGAGACTGTAAGCTCTTCACTGCTGGTTCCGTCCAGCCATCCAGAGACTGTATGCTCGTCACTGCTGGTTCCGTCCAGCCCACCAGAGACTGTAAGCTCTTCACTGCTGGTTCCGTCCAGCCATCCAGAGACTGTATGCTCGTCACTGCTGGTTCCGTCCAGCCCACCAGAGACTGAACGCTCGTCACTGCTGGTTCCGTCCAGCCCACCAGAGACTGTAAGCTCTTCACTGCTGGTTCCGTCCAGCCATCCAGAGACTATATGCTCCTCACTGCTGGTTTCGTCCAGCCCTCCAGAGTCTGTGTGCTCTTCACTGCTGGTTCCGTCCAGCCCTCCAGAGACCGTCCAGACCGTCCAGCCAGAGACCGTCCAGACCGTCCAGCCAGAGACCGTCCAGACCGGCCAGCCAGAGACCGTCCAGCCCGTCCAGCCAGAGACCGTCCAGCCCGTCCAGCCAGAGACCGGCCAGACCGTCCAGCCAGAGACCGGCCAGACCGTCCGGCCAGAGACCGTCCAGACCGTCCGGCCCGAGACCGTCCAGACCCTCCAGCCCGAGACCGTCCAGACCGTCCAGCCCGAGACCATCCACTCCCCATCTGCCCTTCACCCGGGGCCTCAACCCAAATATTTTTTGGGGGGGGGCCCAGTGTCCCAGCCACGGCCGCCTGAAGGGCTCTCACCGCCGTGGCCGCCCGAAGGGCTCTCACCGCCGTGGCCTCCCGAAGGGCTCTCACCGCCACGGCCGCCTGAAAGGCTCTCACCGCCGTGGCCGCCCGAAGGGCTCTCACCGCCGTGGCCTCCCGAAGGGCTCTCACCGCCACGGCCTCCTGAAGGGCTCTCTCCGCCGTGGCCACCCGAAGGGTCCTCGCATCCTGCTCCGCCCTGGCCACGCCCTCATCCTGCTCCGCCCTGGCCACGCCCTCAACCTGCTCCGCCCTGGCCACGCCCTCATCCTGCTCCGCCCTGGCCACGCCCTCATCCTGCTCCATCCTGGCCACGCCCTCATCCTGCTCCGCCCTGGCCACGCCCTCATCCTGCTCCGCCCTGGCCACGCCCTCATCCTGCTCCGCCCTGGGGGGCTTCCTGCGCCTGACCACGTCCTCCACGGCCTCCAGGGCGCCCACCCCCCCTCCCCGCTGATGTTACGGCGTGAGGTCACGCCTACCGGGAGGGGGGAGTGATGTCACAGTCTTCGTCTTCACCTGTTTGTCTCGTCATCTGCACCACGCTTCCCCGGATCCTTTTGTTTCCTCTTCTGATCTCACTCCCTCATCAGCCACCTGTTCCTCGTCTGTTCGTCATCATTTTCACCTGTTTGCACTCCATTTAGTTTGATTCCTCTGTCTATTTAGTTCGATCTTATTCAGTCTGTCTTTGTCAGTCGATGTTCATGTTACCTGGTGTTTGCGCCTGTAACCCTGCCTTCCTGCCTGTGTGTGTATAAATAAATTCGTGTTTGATGTCAACCTGGATTCCTCCCGCTCCTTCGTCCTGCACTCCTGAACCCCTGCACCACACCCCGTGACAGTTGCAATATTTGGTATATCGGGTTCTTATAGTCTGTATATTATATTCGATGTATTTTATGAATTAAATGTTATAATAGTAAACCAGCAGCTGAGTTTTTGGTATATATAATTTATAACCTGAAAGAGACCCAAAAGTCTGCAGTGACCTTGATAACGTTGGAAGAGAGGCTTAGGGGTCTCCTAAATAAATAATTATAAAGCTATTAGTTGGACAAGCAGCGTTCCAGAAATGATGATATATAGGAGCAGCAGTGAAGCAGTTCTGGGATCTGATTTAGTTCAATTCAATTCAAACTCCAAGGTTTGCTTGTGGCTTATTTTATAAACATGTGATTACAGTTAAAACATTGTAGTCAAATCCAAACTTTCTAATTTTCTTCTGAAAAAAATAGCCCCAATTTTTATCCTCCCGTTAAAAGTATTCTGATTGGTATTCAGAATAACCAAAATGGTTGCCTAACCCTGGTGTAGACAAATATTGAAAATGTAATTTGATTCCGTTTTGAGCTACCTGAAGCTGCCTTTGTCTTTGTGTCTGGATTGTTTTTATTCCTTATTACTTTGTACATTTCTTGAATGCTCATTGCCAGTCTGGTACATTGTTTTTGATTGTGATTTCCTGTCTAAGAACAATTACATTGACACTGTGCATTTGCGAATCACCCCTCCATTTGTACCAACCCCCCTCACCCCGACCCCCATGAACAAAAGTGGCTTTAAAGGGTTAGTTCACCCAAAAATGAAAATGAAGTCATTAATTACTCACCCCCATGCTGTACCAACCCCGTAAGACCTTCGTTCATCTTCGGAACACAAATAAAGATATTTTTGATTGAATCTGAGGGCTGGATCACTCTTCCATAGACTGCCTAAGGGACTGGCTCTTGACGGCCCATAAAGTCATTAAAGAAAAGGTTTAAATATTCCATGTGCCTACAGCGGCTCCATTATAAGTTTATCAAGCGACGAGACTACTTTTTGTGCAAAAAAAACATAAATAACGACTTTATTCCACTATTCCATTACTTCCTTATGGGCGCATGCGCGAGAACTGAGACGAGGACGTTCTCATTCGACTTCTTCTTGTTACCGGCTGCTCACCGCTTAGGAGTTTTACCGCCCCCTACCGTATGAGATGATGTGCTGATATACAAGCAGAGGAAGATGCGCGCTGTACATACGCTTTTCAATTTGCGTATTTTCCGCACTATAAGGTGCACTTAAAAACCTTTAATCTTTTTTTTTAAAAAACGGCAGTGTTCCTTATAATCCGGAGCGCCTTATATATGGATCATCATTTTATACGGTAGGTGGCGCTAATACTCCTAAGCGGTGAGCAGCCGGTAACAAGAAGTAGACGAATGAGAACGTCCTCGTCTCAGTTCTCGCGCATGCGCCCATAAGGAAGTAATGGAATAGTGGAATAAAGTCGTTATTTATGTTTTTTTCGCACAAAAAGTAGTCTCGTCGCTTGATAAACTTATAATTGAGCCGCTGTAGGCACATGGAATATTTAAACCTTTTCTTCAATGACTTTATGGGCCGTCAAGAGCCAGTCCCTTAGGAAGCCTATGGAAGAGTGATCCAGCTCTCAGATTCAATCAAAAATATCTTTATTTGTGCCCCGAAGATGAACGAAGGTCTTACGGGGTTGGGACAGCATGGGGGTGAGTAATTAATGACTTCATTTTCATTTTTGGGTGAACTAACCCTTTAACCATCACTCTTTTTAAAGTGGTCATGAACTGGGTTTTTAACTTTTATTATATTGTATATCTGAGATCAACTTATGACGTTCGCTTGGTTTTTGCATTTAAAAACATCAAAATGAATAAGTAATAGGCTATTTTGTACCCAAGTTGTGAGCCTACTTGAAAAACGGTCGGTTTTTATGGTCGTGTCGCACTGAAGACTTGGAAGTAAACGCCCACTGCTGTGAGTGGATAACAGTTTTGCATATTATAATGAGTTTAACTCACCCGTCGGTGCACGTGGGGGAAAACTTCCAATGTTGTAAAATGGCAACTGGATTCGCCCATACGTGTTCGACCCAGAGTCTGTGTGTTGAACAATTCCTGTCAGATCCAATATAGACGGCACAGCACCGTTCTTTACTCTTAATCGGTCTGAAAATCCAGTCTTGTTTACAAAACAATCCTCAGTGAAATGAAGTGAACAGACGACGATGTTTTACCCTCATCAGCTGGAACGTCATTAAAAATAAAGTTTATCCACAGTCCTATTGGAATCCAGAGGAAGCTTATGCAGCGACTGTCTTCTTCCACAACCAGGCACTGCACAATATTCTGTATTGCTCGGTAGCTCGATCGTCATCACGAGGTAGGCATGTATGTTACTTAGCTATGCGTGTAATGCGCGAATCGGTGGGCGGGGCTAAACCGGCTGTGGTGAAGCAGGCGTTGATCTTCCTCTGCGGGGGTGCTGTTTTAGCCTCTTTGACGTCATATTTCCCCACTTTTAAAAACGAGTCGTTTTCAGAGGCTGGTGTCAATAAAAGCTTTTATTGTACTAACAAGGACGTTTTCAGTTCTGAAACTTACAGGATATTTTTATAATATGATGACCTCTTAGATGTCAAAAGCTCAAGGAAAATTTGATTTCTCAGTTCATCACCCCTTTAAGATCTTATTTTTCATGGTCTTCTGCCCTGTCCTCATTTTTTTCTGTTTGGGTTGTTTTTGTGCTGTCCCGAGGCAGTGAAGGTGGGTGTAGAGCAACAATCTTCACAATGCATAGGTTCTCACACAGTACCTCACATTCATTGTGTTGTGCATTTAAAATAGGTTTCCACTGACTGAAATGTTCTCCCCCAGTGTTTATCAGATTTTAATGGATGAGATCTAAATAAAATAATTGTGTGTGGAGGAATTATTTAAAAAAAATTAAACAAACTATTGAAATGTGTCATGTTCTTACAGTTATGGTACACTAACAAAAGTTTCAAAAGTTTTTTCACTCATATTGGTGAAAAATTAATAGTTTAATATATATATATATATATATATATATTTTTTAAATATATTTTAAAATATAATATACTCCTGTGATCGATAAGCTAAATTTCAGAATAATTACTCCAGTTTTTAGTGTCACATGATTATTCAGAAATCCTTCTAATATGCTGATTTGGTGCTCAAAAAACATTTCTTATTATTATCAGTGCTGAAAACAGTTGTGCTGCTTAATCTTTTTGTGGAAAACATGATGCATCTTTTTAAGGATTCGAAGTTCAAAAGAACAGCATTTATTTGAAGTAGAAATTTTTGATCAATTAAATGCATCCTTGATAAATACAATTTCAAAAAAAAAATCATACTGACTTTTGAACGGTAGTGTATTAAATGTCAGTAGGTGTTACTTAATTGACTTTATGTTTATTTGTGTTCATGTGTAGGTTATGATATGGAGGCTGGACGTTCCTGAACATGTGATCAAGAACCCTGTGCGGTCCATCAGTGTGCATTCAGATGTTGTTCTGTCCATGTCCTTCAACACAGATGGCAGCAGACTCGCCACCTCTTGCAAGGATAAGAAGATCCGAGTGATTGACCCGCGCACTGGCGCCCTTTTACAGGTGCGTGTGCTGTTCCTCTCTATCTGTCATGCACATGCTGCTTATGATGCTCATATTATTAGGTGGAACCAATCATGAGTTTTGACTTCATTTTCCCCCCCATACAACTTTACCAAGTCCATCACTTATTCCTTCACTTAATTTTAAAGAACAAGTTCGGTATTTTACTCTTAAAACCCTGTTTTAAGACCGTTGATGAAATAGAACGGTTAAGATTAAAATTTGGACACATGCTGCTGGCCTCCGCTATGGTTGCATAGGTGCACTTGAACAATCCTTCCTAAAACGCATTAAACTTTAGTTTACAAAGACGTTAATCTCGCCGAGTGGTCTGGGGTGTTCACTGATAAGCTCACACAAAAATCATTGCAAAAGATGCTTTCCAACAGGTTTTATCATAGTTTTTGTCCTAGTGGAGTTGGACAAAACTACGATAAAATCTTGGACAAAACTACAATAAAACAACTAGGGGTGGAGTAAAAAATCGATTCTTCTATGCATTGCGATGCGGACTTAGACAATCTTGAATCGATTCACAAATGTCAAAAAATCAATTTAAAAAAAAATAATATATTGATGGAATGTTAAAGATGGAACTGTGAAGCGCTGAAGTGCAGTGCCCGTCCCGTCTGTGGCATGCACATAACAGTGACGCGATGGCTGAGCGTGAGGTCCAAACACCCTCCTTGTTAAAAACTGATGTGTGGAAATATTTTGGCTTCTGAAGTTGAAGGGGGAAAGGAGCTGGACAAGTGCCACACTAGTTGTAAGCTTTGTAGAATAAAACTAACGACGGAAACATGACAAATATGAGAAGCCATATGACACGTTTCCAGGTGCCTTTGCATTATAATGCAACACAATTGCTTTTAAAAAAATAATTTAAAGATAATGGGTTGCCTAAGTAGTAGATAACAAGCATGTTTGCATGTCCTCACTAACCATCAATACATTTTCATTGAATTTCAAACAAATAAAAAGTACAATTAATACCAAAATGTTGCTGCTAATATGTTGGTCTAGTGTATTTTTGTTTACTAAATGGAAAATCAATAATCGCTAATAGAGAATCGTCGTTAATAATCGAAAATCGACTGTAATCGAATCGGGACTTCAATAACCGTAATCAAATCAAAGAGATTAACCACCCCTAAAAACGAGTGGAGTTGGACAAAACTACGATAAAACGATTTTTGTGTGAGCATTTCAGTGTACACCCCAGACCACTTGGTGAGTATAACATCTTTGTAAAGTAAAGTTTAATGCATCTTATGAAGGATTGTTCCAGTGGACCTATGCAACCATTGTGGAGGTGCAACCACAGAAACCGAAATTCTCGGGTCAGCAGCATGTGTCCAAATTTCAATCTTAACCGTTATAATTCATAAGAAACGATCTTAAAACTGGGCCTGAAGTGTAAAATACGGAACTTGTCCTTTAATTATGAGCTGGGACAAAGACAGCATACAGTATGTGGACTTGCACAGAAATGCACTTCCCCTTGTCTACCCCTCTGACACCACACATCCAAAACTAGCACCTTTAAAACACCAAAGAGGTCAGCATCAGCCCAGAGTCTTAGATTCACACTGTCATGTCTCCTCAAGTGACTCGGATGAATACAAGACTCAATTCACGCTTTATTTCATTTTACACGACATGGTTGATTGAATTTTGAGATGATTAAAATGTGTTAAGGTTTTGTTAAGGTTTTTTTGTTAAAGATATGTTAAGGTATTTTTTCCACTATATTTTTTGTAAAAGAAAGAGAAAGGAAATGTGTATTTATTTTTAAATGTCATGTGTAATGTGTGATTTTAGGAGACTAACTGCAAATTACATAGAGCCAATAAAGTGCTATTTCTTGGAAACCTGAAAATGCTTCTCTCTACGGGCAATTCACGCTGGAACCATCGTCAGATTGTACTTTGGGATCAGGTAAAGCCTGCTAAAAATAGACTCATATTTGTAAAAAAAAAAAAAAAAATACTGCATGTCTTTTTTTATGGCAAATTTTTCATTCGATAATTAAAAGAAATTCTCGATCAGAGCAATTATGGCTACAATGTTACCTATTAAATCAAAAACAAAAGTAGCTTAAAATAATGCTCAAGATATCATTACACAAAAATGCTCTTCTAAATTGCATTTGATTAAAAAAATTATAAATACTTTCTGCTGTTTTCTGTCACAGAAAATTTCCATGTAATCACTGTTCATGTTCAGTCTTTAGTGCTATTTTTGTTTCAGTTTATTTTCATTAAAAGAGTTTCCCATTAACTACACAGATACAGGGCCTAGAATGGAATATAATGAAATATATACAATTTTAGGTAACAGCTAAAAATATATATCCAGCAGTAATTACTGGGCCAAGCAAACCAGCAAATGCAGTTGAACTGTTTTGCCATAGGCAGGGTTTTTTATTACTAAAAAATTCCTGAAATTAAAATTAAATCTTTTATTGATAACTAATAACTATTTATTGATAACTAAGTCCACAAGGGACAACTAATCATTTGTTTTTTTTTTTTTAATTACGTTCTAAAACAAAATAACAAATGTGACACCCAATTGTACATTGATAGAGATAAACTGAAATATTTATATAAACAATCTATGTTCACAAAAATAGATGTAAGACAAGTTTGAGAAAGTACATTTTCGACTAAATTCTAAATGGCAGAAGATGTAGCTGAAACCCATCGGTGCAATTAACTGAACATAAGGAAAGTCTCCTATGCTCACCAAGGCTGCATTTAGTTGTTCAAAAATACAGTAAAATCATAAATAATATAATTTTTTTTGAATAGATCTTTGATGAATAGAACAGGTCAAAAGAACAACATTTATTTGAAAAATATTTTCTTTGTAATAAAGTACAAAGTTTTGCTGTCATGTTTGATCAATTTACGCGTTTTTTAATTGTTAGTGGCACAAGAGTATTTGAGATTAACTTTACATTCCAATTCACTAAGGGGGAATTCACATTTTTAAAATCTGGGACATTTTTCCTCATTTCCAGTGGTGTTTATAATGGGTTAAACCTGACTCTGCTTGGAATGATCTATATACTATCATCTATATACTAGCTCCAGTTTGACAGGTCCAGATCCTCAATAGTCCATGACTCGCTTCAGATTTCCCTCTAGCGTCACAATCATGCCATCACAATCATTACAATGCTTTTCTGTCTACTTTCCTATGGTATGAGTTAGATATGGATCTAATCCAGATACAGTTCTACTTTTTGTACGTGTAATATACCTTTATTACATGTTTATATCTTGTTTAATATGTAATATACCATATTATACCATGTTTATACCATATTATATATATATATAATATAATATAGATATATACATATAATATATATATATATATAATATATAATATATATATATATACCATATAATATACCATATTATACCATATTTATACCATGTTTAATATGTAATATACCATATTACATGTTTATAATTTCTATGGGTATTTTTGATTCAGGGATTTGGTTTAAAGAAACCAGTAGTGTTTAGATTAGATGTGTTGAGTCCTAAACTTACTTGCACGCGTTCTGCAGGAGGACCTCTCTCAGCCGTCTTATTCAGAGGACTTGGATGGCTCCTCCGGTGTCCTCTTCCCTTTTTATGACCCTGACACACACATGCTTTACATTGCTGGAAAAGTGAGTACATATAACCTGGACTACCAGATTGGCAACTAGTGTTTTATGTGCTGTATTGAAGATAAAGGTTATTAATGGAAAACACAATCCTCCTTCAATCTTTAGGGCGACGGAAATATTAGATACTATGAAATCAGCCCAGAGAAGCCATATGTGCACTATTTGACTGAATACCGATCTCTTCTACCTCAGAAGGGAATGGGTGAGTACTATACATGCAAAGCCTACATGTGCACAAACACAGACTTATGAAAATTAGTCAAAACAGCAGTGACATCATTTGAATAGTATAGATGGTTTAAAAGCTGGCTCATCCTTGCTACTTAAAACATTTTTTTTTTGCAATTTATGTCACTAGTCAGGTTGGGTAAGTAAATACTTTAAATGCTTTAAGTGTCTGAAAAGTACTTTACATATCTCTTGTACATAAATATCGATTGGTTAAAGAATGTTCCGCTTCTGTATCACATACTGTAACATGCCTGTCTCAACTAAACAGACTTCTTTGTTTAGAGATCCTCCTAAAAGTATGCAAACACTTAAATGTATCAATCTTTTCTACAGAACTACATTAGAAAAAAAAATATTACATTAAAGAGAAGGCATAAGCACGTTTTAAGCAAACTATTTCACAAAAATTGCTTCTTACTTGCTTAAAAAAATGACTGTTCAGAAAAGAAAACTGCCATATAAATGAAGGTGACATGACATTGTAAATGTGTTTAAAAAAAATTGTTCTCCTTCAGGTGTCATGCCAAAGAGAGGGCTTGATGTGTGTTCCTGTGAAGTCTTCAGATTCTACAAACTAGTGACAATCAAAAGTCTCATAGAACCTCTATCCATGATTGTTCCACGAAGGGTATAATCCTATTCACACATCCATAAAAAAAATACATATAACATAAAGTAGAGCTAGTTCTCTCATATCTGTGCTGTCCTTGATGATAGGATCCCTAACTATCCCTAAGAGACTTCAAGAGATGTGTTTGTGTTCTGTTCTGCAGTCAGAGTCCTATCAAGAGGACATTTACCCCATGACAGCTGGGAACAAGCCCGCCATGACAGCAGATGAGTGGATCAGTGGTCTAGACAAAGGTCAGAGAGTCTTTAAAATGATTTTTCTGTCATCATTTTCTTACCCTCCAACCAACCTGGGGTGCGTTTCCCGAAAGCATCGTTAGCCAACTATGGTCGCAAGTTCCGTCGTTATCTGCATAGTTTAACGAGTCGGTTTTTCCCGAAACATTCGCAAACAGCATCGCAAAGTTGGGTGGTTTGAACGACAGCTCTCGACCTGTGGGTTAGAGGCATCGTTTCTATATTGCATGACATTTGGAGGTAATAATCCTTATCTTGAGCAAAATAAGCAAGCTGACATTCAGTACAACCGGTGCCTTTTATTTAGAATACATACAAATGTAATTTACGTCTTTTAGTTTTTCAAAAGATTTGAAGTAACGTGTTTGAAGAGTGCGCATGTGCGAACGTGCTCTCCTATGTAAGAACGAGCCAAATATTGAGTCTGAATATTGAGAACAATTAGAAATAGTCCTCAGATGACATGTCTGTAATTTATATAAAACAAATCTAGCGTTAATTGGATCTCAAACAGTTTCATTAAAAGTAGTGCGAATGTGCGAAACCAAACGTGGTTGAACGATACTTTGCGACAGTGGGTTTCGGGAAACAGTCGTGACTAGCTAGCTGATTTTTCCAACGATGCATGGTAGTGAAACAGTGAACTACGTCGTTGTACGGGAAACGCACCCCTGATTTCTTCTGTGAAACAAAAAAGTGGGAATTTTGTAGAACTTCTAAGCTGCTTTTCTCCCCCATTCCATTCCATGTTGATTTTTATAGCTTCATAAATGAACCATAAAAGCACCATAAAAAGCATAAAGTGGCTCGACTTGCTAAGTGGCCATTTTAGTCTCTTGCCCTTCAAAACACTAAAATAGCCACTTAGCACGTTTGGCCAGTTTTATGCTGGGAACAAGGGATATTAAAGAGATGGTATATACAAAAAAATCACTACCATTCAAAAGTGTGAGCATAGTAAGATTTTTTTTTTAAATGTTTTATGAGTCTCTTATGCTCACCAAGGCTGCTCACTGCTCAAGGCTAATCACAAAAAAATACAGTAAAACTGTAATGTTGTGAAACATTATTGCAATTTAAAATAGTTATTTTTTCTATTTTAATATATTTTTAAATGTAGATTTGTCCTGTGATGGCAAAGCTGAATTTTCAGCAGCCATTACTCTGAATCTTAAGCAGTCACATGATTCTTCAGAAATCATTTTAATATGCTGATTTGGTGCTCAAGATAAAATTCTTATTATATTAGTATTAGTGTTGAAAACAGTTGTGCTGCTTAATATTTTTGTGGAAACCATGATCAATCAGGATTATTTGATAAATAGAAAGTCCAGAGGAACAGCATTTATTTGAAATATATGTATATATTTTTTGTAACAATGTAAAAGGCTTTACTTTCACTCTTGCAGAATAAAAGTATTTTAAAAGACCTTGGATTGGTAGTGCTTGCAGTATTGCTACATATGATGTTATAAAAATGAATTTATGAAACTGCGGAGTTTTTTTTTTTTTTTTTTTTTTTTTTGAGACTGTGCCTCAATTAGATAAGATCACTTTAGTATTGTTTAAGTATTTGTATGTATACCAAACCAGATCCAGCATTTTATTGTAATTCTAGTATTTTAGCATAATTGCAATGTACTTAAAGTACATAGAATAGCACTTTATTGTATATGTTATGTGTAACTTGTCTGAAAACATTGGTGTCTCTTGTAATATGTTATTTGAATATTAAGATGTTCTTTAAACTGTGTAGCATCTTACTTAAATTTCAATGTTAGCCTTGTTATTTTATATTGTGATGACCTGACGGGGGACTGTAGATGTAAAGTAGCCCTGGGGCTAATTCTGGCATATTTACATTGCTGAAAAGCTAAGATGTTCATTAATATGCATTGTCCCTTTTAACCCTCTGGGCTTCTTCGTAAATGGGTTACACTTAGCTTCCTCACGGTCAAAAACGGACGAAGCCTTAAAATTTTACTTTACTTCTTCCCAGGATAACCATTCAAATATATTTTTGTTCTACAAAGTATAATATTTTCTGATTATTATTTAGAATTTTTAGAATTTTTTATGATACTTTGCATTAATTATATAATTTTTATGAGCTATTTTTTCCATTAGAATTAATATACATATTTTTATTTTATATTGTTTTTTATTTTTTTTCAATAAATACAACATTTCACATCAAAATAGAGTGTCAGCTAATAAAAAAAAAATAATTCAAGTAGATTAGCGCCACCTAGTGGCTTTAAAAATAGTTACATGTGTGCAATGTCCTGTACAGCCTGTAGGCTGCCTATAGCTTCCTATTCAAATACATAGAAAGGCTTTTTGATTCTTTTTGTTGGTTTAGACATGATTTCTCATGTCTGTGTGCGTGTGTGTGTGTGAGTGCGCATTTGAGCAAGATTTTTTTCTCATTTATTGATTTTATTTTTCATATTCTACAAATTTGCTGGTGCAGTCTTGCCAGTTTATCTGTGTATGTGTGTGTGTGTGTGTGTGTGCGTGTGTGTGTGTGTGTGGGGGGGGGGGGGGTCTTATTTGCACTCTTGATGTTCTAGAGTTTCACCCCTTCATTGCTGTACACTTTTTTTCTGCACAGTTGCTGATCTGTAGCTTGTACCACCAAAAGTTTCTCTGAGTTTTCCTATTTTTTTCGTATTTCCCATTCATTTCCTATGTCGGTCATTTTTGACCGGGAGGATGCTAAGTGTGACTTTTTTTTTAACGACCCTTTAACAAATCAGAATCATCTCCTTGATTTTTTTGTGTGTTCATATAGGTAATACAACAAAAGTCACCAAGTTTCAGCCCGATCCGATCAAGCAAAAAAATTAAACATTTCAAAACGTAACAGTTTTCGGTCATTTTTGACCGAAGAAGCCCAGAGGGTTAAATAAATAAATAAAAATTATTCCTGCTTTTTACTCTGCAGGTCCCTTGATGATGTCTCTTAGGCCTGGAAGTAAACTGGACTCATATGTCGAGGTGGGCTTGAGTAAAGGCCCGACTGACTCGACGGAGACGCGCCATTCTCGCAGTCGGCCTGGGCTGTCACAGCGGATTCATGAACGTCTGGATGCCAAAGAGGAGAACGAGCGCAAAGAATCCCGCCCTACCTTGCTGCTCCCATCCATAGATGATAACAGCAGCTCTACAACCTTTGTCAGCAACGGACAGCTAGATTCCACGCACTGCTCGCCACCAAAAACAGAGAACGAGGTATGGTACATGTATAGCATTGCAGTGACCTGTCAGACACTTTACTAAAGCCTTGTTCACACTACATGATTTGAAGGGTTAGTTCACCCAAAAATGAAAATGAAGTCATTAATTACTCACCCCCATGCTTTACCAACCCCGTAAGACCTTCGTTCATCTTCGGAACACAAATAAAGATATTTTTGATTGAATCTGAGAGCTGGATCAGTCCTATATAGAGTGCCTAAGGGACTGGCTCTTGACGGCCCATAAAGTCATTAAAGAAAATGTTTAAATATTCCATGTGCCTACAGCGGCTCAATTATAAGTTTATCAAGCGACGAGAATACTTTTTGTGCGAAAAAACATAAATAACGACTTTATTCCACTATTCCATTACTTCCTTATGGGCGCATGCGCGAGAACTGAGACGAGGACGTTCTCATTCGTCTACTTCTTGTTACCGGCTGCTCACCGCTTAGGAGTTTTACTGCCACCTAGCGTATAAGATGATGAGCTGATATAGCTGGAAGCGCAAAACTTTCTGTTTACAAGCAGAGGAAGATGCGCGCTGTACATACGCTTTTCAATTAGCGTATTTTCCGCACTATAAGGTGCACTTAAAAGCCTTTAATCTTCTCAAAAAACGACAGTGTTCCTTATAATCCGGAGCGCCTTATATATGGATCATCATTTTATACGGTAGGGGGCGGTAAAACTCCTAAGCGGTGAGCAGCCGGTAACAAGAAGTAGACGAATGAGAACGTCCTCGTCTCAGTTCTCGCGCATGCGCCCATAAGGAAGTAATGGAATAGTGGAATAAAGTCGTTATTTATGTTTTTTTTCGCTCAAAAAGTAGTCTCGTCGCTTGATAAACTTATAATTGAGGCGCTGTAGGCACAAGTTGTTTAGCTGTTCACACCACACAACACAACATGATTGATCAACAACAGGAGGTAACTCACTACACGACTTGACAACGCACTACATAGAGATGCAACCACGATCGGATGATAAGAGCAAATCATTTGTGACTCTGATGAGAGCTGTTTCAGTACTATGGCATGGTCTAAATCCTGAAAATAATCAAATAAATAACGAGTTGACAACAACTCTGTCAACCGATTCTATCTTGTCTACAAACCACGTTTTGTCACGAAAAACCACGCAATAAAACGAACCAGAAATGACGCAAAACAGCATGTGCGCCAATACCCAGCTAAGAAGAGAACACAACATGCGAATATGGACGTCAGACAGAAACTAGAGCTGCACACTGTTTGCGCGATGATTTGCTCTGAGAAAAAAATCCTCAGAGCAAGACCTGAGAAAAGACCTCAACCCATGCCTTGCTATGATTGGCTGTAGCTCATGACATCACTGAGGTTGAGTCGCGCGACGGCTCTGGATATATAGCATGCTAGATATTTTTCTGGGCTCGGCGACACGTCTGCGTGGCGTCTGAGAGCGTCTTCGCTGCGTTGTTGGCTTTTTCATACTAACAGATTGGCGAGCGTTCATCGTCCGCTAACCCCCCGCGATTTGCACGCGATAACACCCTGACCTGTCGGCGAGCTCGATGATTTGCAAATCGGGCTTAAATCTGGCTTAAAATCCTGTAGTGTGAACTTGGCTTAAGGGGCTGGTCTCCTCAGAAGTGTTTTCATACTTTCCTCTAATGTGTGTTTATGTATGTTTCTGCATATAGCTCCTACAAATGTTTTATAAGCAGCAGGAAGAGATCCGAAGGTTGAGGGAGCTTCTTAACCAGAAGGATGTGCGGATGAAACAGTTGGAATTGGAGATCAAAAATGTGAAAAACTCACAAGCCAATCTTTGAGAGAAACTGACAAAAGCCTCGTCTTCTTCACTAACATTCACAAAAGACCTTTCTGCCTCATGAATTATGCTGCAAAGGTGTGGTCACATTAACCATTTCTCAGCAAAATTTTGCGGGTGAAATCCAGTCATTTCAATAGGAATTTGCGCTAGAGGGAGTTTCGTGTGAGGAAGGAACATTTTGTTTGTGTTGAAGTTGGTCACAGAAAAGCTGCTTTTTTGAAGGTGACTGTGTGTGAGCGGGACTTTGTGCATTGCTACACTATCGACAACGGACAATGGAGCTTTTTTGCCCCCGAAATTTCGCTAACGTGACCGCCCCTTATGGAAACAGGCTACATTCTCATTACTAGTATCTCTTTATGAAAGTCATTCCTTGTATGCATATTTTGTGCACATAAATACGGTACAACCTCCATGGTAGTTTTTTTTTTTTTTTTACACTTTAGCACTATGCAAAAAAACATTTTAAATTGTGATCATACTTGTTTAAATGCGTGTTTTGTTTTATAAATTGGGTTATTTGTGATTATTTGTGAATATCATGAGATTTTTTTATTTTCCTGATTAATTTTGTATTTAAATTTCTGTGCAAATGGATGAGTGATGTGGCAAGAAAGTTTGATATTGGAAATCTGAATTGTTTTGAACAAAGGGACAAATTTGACAAATTCTTAACATGAACATTATCGACTTATGTTTAAGTTTTTTTTTTTTTTTTTTTTTTTTGGTGTGTGTGTGTGTTTAAATGCTGTTAAAAAAGTTTACTAAATGCACTGATGAGGCACTATTGTGGGAACTGGCTGGGGTTCACACAATATCTAAGGAAAGTCAAGTTTAGGTTCAGTAATTCACTTCAAGCTCATTCTGTACCACCTTTGCTGTGAACTGCCACCATGATATTTTAACAGTTTACCGTGTGTTTCACTTAAAACCAATCAGTTTGTTATGTAAATTAACAACAGTTACCCATTAGGAGCCCCTGATGCAATGCTTAGTTTCACGAATTTGGAAAAGCCATAGTTGTTAAAAAAATATTTTATTAATGTTTTGTTTATATATGGATATGTACATGCACACATCAGAATATGTAATGGAATAAGAGTTTAAATATGCTATTTTAAGTGTTGTTGCTCAAATATTTCTCCAAATTATTTACTAAATGGTGTTCAAACAGCCTCGATTGCGGTCTCTTCTTTTTTTTAATCCTAACACAAATAAGTCCGATAATTTGGGTGGTCAGGTAAAATAGGCCAGATAAAGAGGCTTTCTGAGGTACAATAAGGCATTTACTCCAAATAAACATTTTTCACAGCTGATCTTGTAGGCGGGGTTTTCTAGGGCAAACTGATCAGTTAGGGAGACACAATGGTAACATTTTGAGGTTTCATTTGTTAAAATTAGTTAACGAAATAACAATGAACAATACTTCTAATGTTTATTATTCTTAGTTGATTTCAATGTGTAATAATACATTTTTAAAATAAAATGTATCTGTTAAAATTAGTTAATTCACTGGGAGCAACACACACACACACAGAGAGAGAGAGAGAGAGAGAGAGAGAGAGAGAGAGAGAGAGAGAGAGAGATTCACTGGAATATCGGCTTCTGTTCCACCCGTCACTCACATTTAAAATGAATTGTGAATTAGTTTGTATCGTTTTCCAGACAATTTGAGTGATATTCGTGCCTGTCTCTCAAACACATGCAGCTTTGACAGAATGATCTAAATGAGTTGAATAAAGTATAGTATGCAATTTATTAAATGCGTTTCATTTCCATTCAGAAATATACCTTTTAATTGCTAAATCATCTAATTGTAACACTTAAATTCACACACACATAGGAAGTATATTCAAGTTGCATCTAGTTATTTTTTAGTTTAGAATCAAAGTGTGAATTATGGGAATTTATACACATTAAATGTTCATACATTTAATTCACACTAAGTGTGGAATAATTTCGATTTTTTTAATAAGTTTAAAAGAGGTGTCTTACGCATTTATTTAATACAAAAATACTAGTAAATCAGTAAAAAAAGGTGAAATATTATTACAATTCAAAATATCTGTTAAATAGCAATGTAGGCTAATCATTATTCCAGTGTTGACAAAGCAGAATTTCCAACTGCTGATTTGCTGTTTAGTTGTTGGTTTTGAGGCTGCGTTTACAGTTTTTACAATCACTTTGCTACAATTTTCAGAACCTTGATATCATTTTTCAAAACTCTAGACACAAAACTCAATGTCTAATGTTCAAAACATTGCATTGTGCAGTCACATCTTTAAAGAAATCTTGCACTTGCACAATCATTGTTTCAAAAAACAAATTTACTGTGAAATACCACACCACATAGAAACATAACGATAGATCATGCAACCGATAGTTTCACTGTGTCATTGTTCGTACAATAATTAAATATTGTAGAACAGAATAGGTGATGCAGGTTTCATTAAGGTACTACATATACAGTAATTACATCTCTGTAAAAGTATTGCAGTGGCAGAGAGAATACAGACATAGTGGAATCATTGAACAAAGTTTGTAATATATTGATTCAAAACATTCACAACAACATTGGAATCAAAGCAAAAATATAAAATATTACTTGGTTACATCCATGGATATTGTAGTCTAATTGGTTCATGCTCGATGCTGAATGGTGACAATGAATCGCGCTATCTTGAAACTTTCATGATTTACTGTGAACATGGAAGATTGTGTGTCTGTTCCCATACAACTATGCATTAAGAGTACTGCAAAAGTAATCATTTTGAGCAGTTGTATCAATTGATAGTTCGATCATTGTAAGGAAATTAATAGACACTCATTTGATATGTAATGTGTGAATTGCATTTTGAAATAGTACTTTGATGTGTCATATTAAACAGGTTATTTTGGTTGACTGAACAAATGATCTAAGTTTTATGTGCATTGTATACAAATTGAGAAATGACAATTGTTTGTTTGTTTGTTTGTTTTTTTGAAAAATATTTTGATCATTTGTTGTGAGTTTTGTGTCTAGAGTTGTGAAAAATGCCATCAAGGTTCTGAAAATAGTTACAAAGTGATTGTAAAAAACTGTATTTGATCAAAAATAAACCAATAGCCTAATAGAGCTTTTTTTTTTTTTTTTTTTTTTTTTTTTTTTTTGCCTGGCGAGTAAAGGAAACTTTCTAAAACATAAAAAGAGAAAGAAATTATTCTAAACTATTGACCATATATAAATACACACACACTCACACATGTGTGTAGTGAGATCTATGAGAATGAGATCCTATAGGGGCATGTAAAGTTTCAGAATTTCCACAGAATGGAAAAATTAGGCATTTTACTGTAAATTACATGTTACATTAGTATGCTGATTTTCTGTTTAACATTTTCATTTATATTTGTATTTTATTATTATTATTATTATCATTGTGGAGACATCTTGTGGCCTTTTTGTAAGCTTACTGAGCCCTACGGATGCCCATTTGTCCATGTTTGCAAAAATCGGTGTAGCCTGTGTGATTCTCATTTAAACAATATATTTTATTTTACTATGGGACAGGTATATTTCAAATTCTGAAGGCAATCCTGTTCCTGTAGAATGTTTGACAGGGCGATTATGTGGACAGCAGTAGGACTGTACACTGACCTGTCCCCTGTCCTGCAGGGGTCCTACACGATCCCTGTTTACAGAACTACACAACATTGTTGTGTAACCATGACAGAAACCAAAAGATGTGGTGTCCTCATGTGGCTGTGAAAGGAAACGCAACCACTTTTCAATAGGTGAAAGCAATGTGGAACTAATTTTGTATTTTGAATACAATAGAGTTTAAAGCTCCAAAAACCAACAGCTGTTGCATAGGGATGTTCTCAGATTCTCTCACCTCAATAGGATTACGAGACAAAAGTTTGATATTAACATAATTGTCAATTACTAATATCATATATCTGCAGTCTTACCAAGTTCTAAGTGAACACAAGATCAGGAATACAGCAAGAAGTGGTCTTCTAATGAAGGTACAGTTTAACCTAATACCTGAACTGTGACTGACTGTCAGGTCAAGCTCTCAAGTTGTATTGGTCATACATGCGCTTTACTTGTGTAAATTCATACAATTTGATGAACACAATGTTCGGTTGGCCAGCACAATGGTTTAATTTTTTTTTTTTTGTGCTACATTTATGTTCAATGAAACCAATCAACTTGTTTTTCTGATTTCCGGTTGGATTTGTGTAGGGCCTCAGATTTGCTTTATTAGATTGTCACTGCATGCTGATGATGTTACATGTTATTATTAGTCATAACTATTTAATAAATATCCCAATAACTTAAGTAAAACTGGCAAAACTGTAAAAGTCACAATGTTTCAGCTGTGAAGAATGAACTTGAATCGAATGATCTCTTCTCACTTGGTTTTGATTGCATTTTAGAAAATTAAATGGAAAAGGAAAATAAGTGACAGCATCATGAATTGTGCATCTGAAAAAAAAAAAGATCCATCTTTCCAGCTGCCCTGCAGGTAATGGTGATCTTAAAACATACACAAGTCCTCAACCTCTCATTGTCAGTCATCAAATAAATGTTTACACAAAGTACAGAGAGAAATAGGAGAGCGAGCAAAGCACAAAATGTTATTTTATTTACAAAGTTTTTGTCTTACAGAAAGTAAAAATGTAGCTACAACCTTGATTTGCGCCACAGGCTGCCACACTAAAATTATGGCCCGCTTGTCGCACAGTTGCTATAGCAATTGTATTGGGAAATTTGAAACAAAAACTAAAGGGGTAGGAAATGTCAACAAAAGAAAAAAGAAAGAAAGAAAAACACTTTCAACAAAATATTAAAAGCACAGACCCAAAACTAAATACCAGTCCCCAAAGGTTTTCGGAACACAAACGGGCAGGGGATTGACAGTGGACTTGTGGAATGCCGAGTAAGCCACCGACCCAGAAGGCTTTCATTCAGCTCGTAGGCTCCATATGAACAGCTCCACCCGTCCGGTACAGTCTTGCCCCCACAGGGAGCTTAGCGCTTGGGTAAGGAGGAGAGAAAAAGGTTGATGGGATAGCCGAGTTGTTGGAAAGGAAGGAGAGGGAAGGGTTGGTAACAAGAGTTGTTCATTGGCTTTTAATCATCCTCGTCGTCGTCGTCGTCATCATCGTCATCCTCATCCTCCTCCTCGGCTTCTCGTTTTCTCTTCTCTCCCTTTCCTCCTTGCACTTCGACTGAGCGAGAGAAAAATAATGTTGCTTAAAAATCGCTTGGACACCAACAGAACTAAAGGTTGCCATAAAATCAGAAAACGGTTCATTTGAATATCTCACCTTCATCATCATCGTCGTCATCATCATCTTCGTCATCCTCTACTCCTCCATCCTGACCAAAATCTTCCTCCTGAAAGCAACAAGCCATGTCATTAAATAGGTTGTCTGTGTTCTCCATAAACCATCACATAATGGTAAACTCGTACCTCATCCTCTCCACTGCCGTCCTCCTCATCCTCCTCGCCTTCAACCTCATCTTCGTCGTCATCGTCGTCTTCCTCTTCATCAAACTCTTCCTCATCCTCCTCTTCTTCTCCTTCTGTGATTAAAGCGACATAAATTAACATTGTTAACCCTAAAAAAAAAATAAACCGCTGTTTAAACACCGAAACAGAGCTGGCCACACCGACCCTCATCATCGTCATCATCGACTCCATCGGCTTCTCCGTCTGAGTCCGACGCCTCGCGGTCATCCATATCGTAGCCGTCCAGATATGTGAGCTGCGGAAGGAGCTTGAAGACGCTTTCCCGGTAGTCATTCAAGTTTGTGACTTCACAATTGAAAAGGTCAAGACTTTTCAAATGGTCAAGTTTTTTCTGCCAAAATGAACAGATCAATCACAAAACTTTCATTTTCATCATCATTTTTGATAAGGAACACAGCTCAAATGTTTTGTACAATTAAAGGGATATTTATGTACATTTACAAAAAACTTAGTTTTTTTTTAGATGCAACACAAAACGTGATATTTTGAGAAATTTTGTTTGGCCACTAAATCAGTAAATCACTAAATCCACCCATTTTTATGCACATTTGGGAGTACTGAATAAAAATAAAATAAAACACATGCTGTAAGGCCTGGCATATGAAATAACCGACGTAAAAATACAGTTTGTTGAACCTTTAGAAAAAATCCTAAAAACAAAATCCACAAAACAAATGTTTCTGTGTCTCTCGAGTACCACATTTGATACATCAGACTTCTATAGCCAATACTGTATAATACAGGATATCATATGAGAGGGGAAAAAAAATTATTCAGAGGTCAAAAAGGAGCCA